CCATTTCGAGTGTGAATTTCATCACTGGATGGCAACCATAAAATGCATTTAATATATTATTCAAATTACAATCACTATTACAAATAGCAAAGGTGTCATCTACATACCTTTCATGCATTTGAAAGCTTTGGATTGTTGGCTTCAGCTAACCATTTTCTAGACTGGATATAAAACGCTCTGCAAGGAGAGGACTCAAGGGAGAACCCATTGCAATACCATATTTCTGTCTGTAGATTGTTTCATTGAAAGCAAACTATACATTCAGTGTACAACTTAAAAGGAATAATAATAATAATAACGATTATCAAACGCCCAATGTATTCCATTCGAATAAATAATTCTTGTAGTAAATTCAAGTAATAATGTGCAGATAGAAGAATAAGACGGTCAAATTTCAACTTCTTATAATCTGACATTGTGTGAAAACTGACTGATGAGGCATTAGAAGCACAACTTCGTAAAATCACATGAATGTGTTCTTAGTGTGTTTTCCAATCTGATTTCTTCTATTCATATTAATCTCGGTTATAAATGTCTTTATACTGTGTGACAGATGAACTGCACTTCATCGTCGTACCTCAGTGCACTGAAAGGCTAGACGACATGCATATTAGCATGTTGATTAAATGCTCATTTTGTACAATTGTACAAAAAATAAAATAAAAGGATATACCGTTGGACAATAAGCAATTGACTAAGATGTTCAAATACACTGAGATTTTCAAGTATTGGTTTGTTGGGATTCCGTTGATTGGATATAGGATTTTATCATGAGCTGATATCGGTTAAAGAACCATTGGAAAACCTGGGAGTACTAGACAGCTATTTTGCTAGCCTAGTTTAGGACTGTTCATCAGTACGTACCCACGGTCGAACTCTGGACATTCTGGTTACACGACGAGCTAGCTCGTGGACCATTAAGCCAGTAGGACCCGATCCAATGGCCAGTCCATGAATTCCAACTTCTGTCAATTCACGACATAGCGCTATCACCTAATTCTAATTCAGCTTAGATTTTAAATACTTCGATATTTAAGCAATACTTATTAGATATTGTCAGTTCAGTCGAAAAAGGAATCAAAATGCAGACTAGAAAAAGTGTCATATAAAAAAGAACACCATAAAAAAATAACAATTTGGAACAAGGCTTTTAGAGAGATAAAGAAAATCAGGCAAATGTACCATTTCAATGTTTATAATTGTATTCCTTTTTCAATCATTGGAACCTAGATGAAATACCTAACAAGTAATTAAGTGCACCTCAGGTCGCTAAATTGTACTTAAGTAGTATATTTAGAATTTTTTAAAACATGTAGTTGACGCTTCAACCAGTAAAGTTATTTACTTTTTTTTATCGTGATGACATATATTCTTGCCTGAGTAATCTTGTGGGTAACACTTTAGCGTTTGAAATAATAGGTAATAGGCTTGGGTTACCATAAGAGCACCACTACTCACTATGTGATGCGTATGCATCCAGCTGATGAGCCTCAAATAGGTTGAAGAGCCCATCCTGATAACCACTATTAACCAAATACTTATATGTTTCTAGAATCTTATCATGTTCAAGTCTTCTGCTATGGATAGTTCAGGATATCGAAACTTTTTCCACAAATAACAACGTTTGTAAGATAGTCACTGCTTACAACATATTAGTTTGTCACTAGTAAAGAGAATGGAATTTACAAACAATAAGGTATTATTGCGCTACAAGTTGAACATCTACCTGACTGTGAGTACCATTCAGTAGGCCACTAATGCCATGTTTATACACATAAATGAAATTCGTTCTAGCGGTTACGGTTTATATCACAATCTGGCTGATGTTTGGATTCATAGTTCAGGCATTGGATTTTTTTTATTTTAGCTTGATTCCACACCGTAGTTGTGATACAAGTATGGAATTTTCAGTATGTGATATCGGTAGCCCAAATTTAGCAGGCCGACCATTGATATCGGGTGTGCGCTGGCAGGGGATCGAACCCCGAACCATGTGGAACCATGTGGCGAGATTCCTAACCTCTATGCCACCGACCAGTGATTGAACGGTCAATAGCCTTGCCTCGTACCCTAAAACCCTTGGATATGATTTCCAGTAAGGTAATGAGCACAGACTGATGAAGAGCCCTAAAACCAGGCCGAAGCAGCTGTGCAATACTCCCTAATTCTGGTTTCTCTTCTATTGATTCTCTAACTGATCTTATTTTCTGATCATTAAAGCAGCTGTTGTTTTGAAAATCTCCACTAAATTCTTTTTGTTCAACAAGCAGAATTTTAAACAGTTGATAGGCAGTAGTATTAGTGGCATTACCCTGGATTGAACTAATTGCTTATTGCATAATCTGCTTTTACAATATGTTATTTGTGTTGCAAATATCTCATTATAGCAACACTAAAAATTCTTTCAATGTTATACTTCACAGTGTAAAATATTCTGTTGTGATTGTGCAAACAACAACAACGCATAAAACACAAAAATATATAGGCTTAAATCAATAATATCAAATTCCAGATTAGGGTGTATTTTTGTTGAACAATCTGTTGTGTGTGTGTTATTCCACGTGTATATGTATCTTGTCATCAGTAAGTCACAGTCATATGGTCTCTTACGATTAATTATGCCTTCATTCTGCTTGCATACCGACAGCATTAATAAAAGATCATAAGATTGTGAAGAAGGAACAAGAAGAGAGGACGGACATCGGCTGTGGTTTACGCTTATCAAGATTGCGGATGAATAAAGGTGTTGCTGAATTGTGGAGAATCAAAAGTGATCGTTATGCCAGATTGGTGATGATAACAATCCTTCTATTTAAGTATTGAACGTGACAGACTTAACTGTAACAAGGCTACATGGAGATAACATAAGATTAATGTGCTATATCCTATTGGCTGACTGATAATAGTAGTCTGACGCCACTCTCACATCAATTAGTAGTGATTGCTGGCCTGGTTGAAGTGATCTATTCACTGGACAATGTTTAGCTCGTTTGGGGCTGAGCTCATCAACAGTGTACTCAGTTTGACCCGGCTGACACAGCCAAATCGAATCAAATCACTCAGATTTTGTCTAACTATTGGCACCACTGAGTGGTGAAAATGGCATCTAACTACTCATTTCAATCAGTTAGTAGTCTCTATCATCATACATTTATGTTAGCTCATTTGATCGCCACTTTTTTATCAATCAGACCACATATACTTCGTGATCTGAATAATTTCGGTTTCCCCAAGGAAGTTGGTAATGAAATTCCACCTTGATCTATGTAAATTGCATCTCACAAATTAATATGCAAATTTTGCAGTAAGCTTTTCAACATAAATCTACGCATCATGTGTCTCTGAGCCTTCCTGATTAACTAGTCTTGGTATCTATAAGTACTCTTTAACTTTTGATCACTTTATATAGAACCTAAAAGTATATATTCACGTGTTTGTCTGCGGACAGTCTCTGGCTGTCTCTAAGATGTTTTAAACACGGGATAGGCTGATGAGCATTCAGGCACTTCAGACATTTTTATGTCTTGATGAAATGCTTCATCATAACACTTTGTGTATGTATATTTCCTCCACTTTTCTGCACTATTTTGTGTTTTAGTGGTGTTCCACTTGATTTAACAATGTTTTTGTGTAGGTTCTTTTTGTGGGATATCAATTTTTGTGGTTCTAGTGAATTATTTGGTTCGTATTGTTTTTCTGCCACTGAAACTTATGTTTTTATGCTATTCTGCTGATCAATATGACAAAAGATAACATAGAGTTATCAGGCCTATCGTTTCAGATGGTTTCATAGGGCCCATCGGGAGTGAATGAAAGTCACTGTCTCTCCAGACAATTAATTTGTCACTGTAAATATAAGAAACTTTAGTATAAAATAAACAACGAAGGATTACAGGCATACACAGCATTGTGCAAAACTCCCATTACATCAAGAACTTTTGGCCAGAAAGAAGGAGACAATATCCCTTCCAGTAAACCAAATAGGAAACTGAAGAGCTCTCTTTGCAACTTGGAGGTCCCGAGTCCTAGGTTGTAGGTACGTACTGTTGAAGATACCCAGACTAGGACAGAACAGCTGTCCAATAATCCAGTGCTTGTTTTCAATGGTTCGCCAACTAAAGTCAGTTTGTTATCAAAAACTTGATTACGGGATAAATTAAATGCAAATTTTAAGAAAATACCTAATTAGGAAAATCCCATTTCGAAAGGTAAATAAAGACTGATCCGAATTGAAATAGAAGTTCTAAGATCATTCTGAATAAATCACTACTAAGATCAGAAATCAATAAATTGAAGAACACAAAAACTATCATATATCAATTCGAAAAATGTGAAACTAAAGTTTTGATAGTAAAAGAGTTTGAATCAAACTTACTTTCATGTATGAAGTCCAAGATTTGCTTTGTCGATAGCAAGATCTCTTGCTTTATATATCAAGGAATTAGATGAAATCTCTCTAAGCCACTTCTTTTTTCATTGCATTATATCACAACTGAGGAGATATCTATTTACCCTGTATGACAATGATAAAATTTGGCTGTAAGATCAGACAGTGTTTCTCTTGTTGTACAGATAATTTAGATTTGAACCACACCCAACTTAGAAGTTATTCACCTTTCACTAATATTCAATGAATTAACCTATAGCACATGGAGGAGATCGTTTGAGCAGAAGATAAAGGCGTGTAGACAATCATGAAGCTTGTTAAAAAAAGACTGCAGAGTACAGAGCAAGTGCTGATATGTTTCTGAAGCCCTATGTTCCACTCGGAACCAAAGAGAATAATAACTTCACATCATGGATAATTAATAGATCTATCCGAAAACCTTCTAAAATTAACCGCTATGAATTCTTTTCTTTTGACTTGGGATCTGCACGATGATGGGAAGTAATGTCGGATACAGTCATACAGAAGTTTACGCTTAATTGGATGAAATATTTAAGAATTCATACTTTTTTATTAATAAGGATTAATTTTTTTATTTTTATTGAAATTTCAGCCTTATTTTTGATCGTATCCGGTCTGCCAGCTGTTTATATTTGGCAAGGATGGTGGCCTGTCTCTGGAATGACAAAATCTCGATTTATGTCACAAAAATTACTGAGATCATCATCCACGTATAGTAGATCTTCATCAACAGCTGGAGAATTTAAAAATGATGATTCTATGTGGAGTACATCTTTTGATGATTATTATGATCAAAATTCACCAGTATCAGTAGATAGTTCAATGGATCTAGATGATAATAAACCACCTGCAACAACAGGGACAGGTCGTGCACGTTTTTTTGCTGTGCGTAAAGCTGCAATGCATACGGCTAAAGCGCTGGCAGATAAACGTAAGTCTAATAATTTATATATTTGGACTTTGTTTTTCTATGGTTCACTTGATTTCTGATTGGCCATTGGATCCGGTTCCCAGTGGCTTAATGGTCCAGTAGATAGCCCGCCTTGTAACCAGAAGGTCCTGGGTTCGGATCCTGGTGGGTGCGTACTGCGGAAGAGTTCCAAACTGGGACGAAACAGCTATACTGTTTTAATTCAGTGTATTCATAACAGTAGAAATGTAGCAGTTGTGGCCACATTAACAAAAATTTAATTGAAGCTTGTTGTCAATGGACGTGAACATTGAACGTTTGTTTATTGAAACTGGCAGCCATTGGTGGGCAACTCGAAGGCGCGAATGGTTCGATCGCTTGCAAGCTGAATGAAGACAGGAGCAAATACGAATAAAAGTACTTTATAACTTCATTTGTACTTAACATTTGTTTGTAGACTTTGTAGTTGTCTTCACTTTAATTGCCAAACAATACAATTTCGTTCAAGGAATACTGGTGTTTTAGATTTAAAGTTGAAAGAAATACATAGTATTTATCGGTTCAGTCGCCTACGTCTTCATTACAATAGGAACTTGGGGCTAAGTTCCCTAACACTTGTTGTTCTAAGTACTTAAAAGCAGGTATTCACATACAGTCAATAGAAATCGATACAGCAAGTTGAATCATGGACTGATATCAGATAGAGAAACACTGAAAAACACTGGAATACTGGATAGCTGTTTCGTCCTACTCTGGGACTCTTCATCAGTACGTACACACCAGAGTTCGAATGCAGGACTTTCCTCTCACTAGGCAACGTATTATACCACTCAGCCATTGGGTACCACGATCCAATGGCCATGATTTCTAATTCTTACCAATTCATGACTACCAGCTGATATCATCTGTGAGCATTTGTTCTCACGCCCGACTTGTTGGAGCCTAATGGTCATTACAACTTATCCCTAGAACTTCAGGCAACTTTGTCTCATAGCCAGTCACTAGCAAGTATCAGAATTATTTTTAGGAGTTACTTTGTGTGAATTAAACTTGAAACAAAGTCAAATCCCTACTAAGTAACCCTTTGAAAAGAAACCCATGCAATTAAGTATTGTTATCTATGATACTCATCAATAAGGCACTATAGTATTAGGGTAGGAATCGGTATATATATATATATATGCACAGAACTACACATTGGTGATATTATAGTGGGAAATAGTTTTCAGTAGATGGCGTTATCGAACATAAAATCAGTCTACGAAATAAAGATAATAATAACTTTACATAAAATAAGGTTAGTTTGCTGAGCAAACAATTATGAATATCAATGATTATAAGGCAAACCATTAACTTATAAACATTTACAAGTATTTTCTATGTGGTTGTGTTCTCTGAGCTGGATTCCTCTTTTCTTGTGAATTTGACTTCGTTGAAGACGTCGTTTACTAATTAGTTGGGTTCTATCTAACTCGTTTCTTTTGATTATTAGAGTTAGATAAAACTCACAACTTAAAAAAACAGCGTTTTCAACGACATTAAATTCACAAGAGAAGAGGAATCCGAGAACAAAATCCCATTTTTGAACGGCTTAGTCAAGCGAACAACCACTGGGGAATTAGAAACCCAAGTTTATAGAAAATCAACTCATACAGACCAAATACTGAATTACAACAGCAACAATCCAATAAAACGCGAAAGGAATTGCATATAAAAAAACTCAAGAGGGCCAGGACTCATGCAGCACTCCCACCTTAAGGAAAATTGAAGGAAGACATCTCATGGACTTTTTCTAAAAGAATGGATATCCACGGAATTTCATCAAAAGACATATACCCCCAAGCCAACCTATAAAACCAAAAGACCCCAAGGAAAGCACAAAGAAAACTTGCCTTACCATATATAAAGGATATCTCAGAAACCACTGCAAGACTCTTCAAACCTTTAGGAATTGACGTCGCACACAAACCAACATCATCTACAAAATAAATTGTAACAACTGCGAAAAACACTACATTGGTCAAAGTGGACGTCCCCTTCGTCTTCGTATCCACGAATATAAGCTACTCGTCAAAAGACATGATATCCACTCCCTCATATCACTGCATACAGACAACCACGGACATCAATTCGACTGGGACAATGTTCAAATATTAGACAGAGGAAACAACAAGAATTCTAGAGAATTTTTAGAAGCTTGGCATTCCAGTGAATAATCAATCAATAGACACATCAAGATAGACAAAATTTATCAACCGATAAGAAAGAAACCTCACACACAAAGGGTCAAAGTTCGGGCCAAATAAACAATCAGTTCCAATACAAGTAGCCTAGAAGGTGTGAAAACACACAAAAACAACCAATCACATTCAAGGTCACCCGCTAGGAGAGATGATTAATAAACTCGTGGAGAAATCTACAAGCTCACTTCAATTGAAATTGAAGTATGCGCTGAAGATGTCGCCTAGTAGGGTGATGAAAGCTTCACAAATTAACTGTCCGGCTCAAAGAACACAACCACATCAAAATCATCCACTTGAGCTACAATTCTCCTCTATCATATTTACAGGTATTTGTGACACGTTAGTTGTATAAACAGGTGCTTTGAAAAATGAAAGTTAATCAAGGCAAGAACGTGAAAAAAATTTAATTCTAAGATGACAAGAAATATTGTAAAAACTTTTTTAAGTTATTATCACGAATTGACTTCAGTTAGAGAACCGAGGATGGCTGGACTTCAATCTTCTTTTCAAAATGCTCTCATGTGGCCACGTATTCACCGCCTCTACTAGGTAAAGTCCTATCCACTGATTTTACCTAGCGGATGTGTTCCTCACGAATGTGAAAGGGTGATTGAAAGGACGGACTGTCAGTTCCACATTGGAGGGCTGGAGACACCCGATTCCATGCCTACGTTATACATGCCCTCCAGAATCTGAAAAGAACGAATGGCGAATAGGCCTGAAATTATGTACTACTGGCTGATCAAGATGAGTAGTTGTATACCACTTTCATCAACCAATAGTCCTTGCTAGTCAGATCAAAATATTTTTGATTATGGCTTGATTCCACACCGTATTTCTGGTACAAGTATGGAATTTTTCTTATCCCGAAGATCACATATTGCGGTCTGAATAGTGTCAGTTTTCAAACTGTACTGAAATTTCACCCCTCGAACCTTGTTTGGACACTGACAACCATGGGAATGCAGGTCTTGACACTGTGTTCCTCTACTTTGTGGAATAGATGACAAGTCGAATGCTCAGAGAGTGTGATTTATTAAGACACAGAAGTCCAGAAGTCTTTTCAACTCATTATCTCTTTGGAGGACTTACTTTAAAGTATTGAGCATCCTTCAGTAATGAAAGCTACCTGATAGATATTCTACCAATCAACTAGATCAACAATATTATATCAATGTAAAGTGGGGACAAAAACTTATTTTCTTTTAGAAAACACCAATTCTTTGAATACTATAATACTGACTATTTCATTTATTTATTATATTTTAGTGAATACAAAAGCCTATTTAATTTATGCTGGATTAGAACCTCCGGAGTTTTTGGCCTTATTCCCACCGTATGATCGAGTTACTGATTCAGTAGCTTATCATCAATTTGAGGTAAGCATATCCTGTTAGAAATGTATCCCTTTTATTCTAAATAATTCGTACCTTATTCATTATGTTATTTCACTAGTTAATAATGACATCAGATATTTAGACTATGGGTGATTTTGTTATAGGGATTTGAGTTAATTTCATCGTAGATTTAGTTAGGAACAAACTTCAGTTAATGAATCTATGGAGAACGGAGAGTCCTGGATAGTTACTTCGTTTCAGTTTGGGACCGCCCAACAGTTTGAACTCATGACCCCAAGAGGGATCGAACCTGGAATTTTTAGGTTTTTCGAGGCCAGTCTGCAGCTGCACAGCACCTGCGATGATCATCCATTTCACCTTGACATATCGGACCCTACTAGCACAGAACTTCTCACTACGACCTCAGAACATCCATACAGTAGTTGTCAATCGATTAAGCAGCGCTTCCTGGTTCTTATTGAAATGACTTTAGAGTTCTTCTTAGAGTCATTCACTAAAGGCTGACTAATAGTCAGTGAAAATGGAAAGTTATTCTTACTCTCTATCCCTTGTTTACACTCCTACCCCCACCCTTAAAGATTTTTTTAGTTCTAAATGTAAAAACATTAGAAAAACATTTTTACCAACACATTAATGTTGAATTCTACACTGATTTCTGAGGAATGAATGCCCGTGTTGCCTTTCTGATCCTGCCTTTCACATCCTCATATGTCACATCCTGTATTTGAAATTATGTTGCCTAGATAAGTGATAAGAGTCTTTCATCATAGGTGCCTGCATTCGATCTCCCGTATGAAGTGGTATAATAGGGTGATTAATATTGAGGTTAGGCGTTGAGGGCTAGGTAAGGAGGGGAAATCAATCGACGAGGCTGTGAAGTTACATCGATTGAGATGGTTGGCACATGTGTTACGCATGCCTAGCCTAACCATCGCCTTCCTCGAAGGGCAATATTAGCTGACATAGGGTTAGGCTGAAAAAGAGCTAGCGGTGGTCAAACCAAAACATGGCACCAGTCAGTGAAATCCACAACAGTTAGTTTAAGCCAACCACGTAGGAAGGTGAAGACTTCCTGACTGGTTAGGGTCCTAGGGACGGTAAAAACTAATGACTGGAGAAAGTTGGTGATATGACTCAGAATCGCTCTCAACGGCTAGTGCAGATGCATCCACTCCTTGTGACCTATAATTTCCAATGAAACTATATTGTTCTTCGTCATTACTATTCCTTTTGTCTCATATCCCTGTTTACTGTCTCTATTTTGCATTTCTTATACTTTCTTCTCTTACTTTGTGTGCTACATAGAGTGTGGCGACTTGAACTGCTGCACATCGGTGCTAAGTTCTATGTTGAAAACAGACAGACAGACAAGTGAAAGAGACGACTTCACTTAGATTTTTCCCGTCGATAGTGATTGGTACTTGTTGTTGGTAGGTTAGTTGGTTGGTTGGTAATCTTCATCACCTCTGCCTTGACTATGTTCGCTTAAAGTGTTGTTTTGTCTACTTTTTTCGCCATCCTGTTAGTTTTCGCTGGTAGGTCTTTGAGTTTGTGTGATATACATAAATCATCTATGAACTCCATGCCTTCTAGAGTCTTTCGGTCGGTCTAGTGTATGCCCGTTTCCTTGCTCCTCATTATGTGTTACATGATTTGGTTCACCACAGTTAGCAATATTATCGAGGATAGTAGACAACCTTGTCTTACTCCTGTCTACACTTCAAAGTTCTCACTGAACTTCCTGTTGTAAATCGTGCTTAGTCACAGTGATAATTTATCACTGATACTAACATGTTTCATAATAACAGTCTGTGCTGAATTTAATATTCAAAAAAACTTATCATGTATGATTTTTAGCTTATCGTTTGAATCATGAATACTTTACAAATGCATTTTATCTTCTCTTAGTAAAATTCAATAAGGATGATACAGTAAATCAACTGTCAATGTTGTTTTTCTTTCTATTTCATGTATACATTGACCTTGACCTAGAACTTTTATTTCGATAATTAAATAAATTCAACACTTGATGAAAATTTTTTTTCAATCTGTTTAAAGTAAAGGTGTTTTAAGGATAATTGACAAGATAAATATTTTCGAGTGTTGGATTATTGGGAAATCAGAAAGCACTGAACCACCATTTCGTTGTAGATTCATGAGTCTTCAGCAGTACATATCCACGACTGCATTAACTATCGAATCCTAACCGTTCACGACACGAAGTGAACACATTAACCACATAGCCACTAAGTAGAACCCATAAATGATAACCACTGTCAGATTGCCATGCAGTAACAGTGCTGTCGATGAGCATCTGTCCTCACAAGCAACTTGGTGGATTCCACTAGTCATGGGTTAATATTTAAACTCCAGGGAGTCCATCCCATACCAAACACGTAGGTGGTTCGGGTTTAATTCTATGGCTAACGCATTCCTAAACCTCGTTTAGCCTGTGATAAATCTGATAGAGATAGAAGGTTGAGTAAGAAGCTATCAACATCACTCTTTATAAGAGCAACTTGGAACTTCAAGACTCAAGCCTGAAGAACTTCGTCCTACAAGAAATGAAAAGGAGTAAAAGAAAATTGTTCATCTTATAATCACTTACTAATAAGCAGTGAATTGGTAGAGAAATCCGCCTTTTGAAACACAAAATTCTGTCTTGAAGCTAGTTTTTATGACCAATTAAAACCCGCTAAAGAAACAATGTAAGCCAAAAATCGTTTACCATGTATTTTGTTCTACTTTGGGACTAATAGACAATGCGACCCAAGGACACGGTTGTGGATCTAGTTCAGTTTGACCCAGTTGTGAAGCCAATAAGTTATTATCCAACTAGTCAGTTAGAATCTCATGGCCTATGAACTCCAACTTTGAGTTTTTCTCGGAGTGAAGGATATGTACGTTAGGAAGTTATAAAAATGAGGCAGGAAAGTGTCTAAATCTCTTTTGCTTACAGTAGTTCTCCAATGGAGTATTGTATGGGACCAAATCCACCTTCAAAGTAAATGTCGTTTAGGGAATCTTCTTATGAAGCGAAAGCACTGCAACAACAGAAGACAAGGGCCAGGCAACAGATCGTTTATTACGAAAAATCAACACGTATTTATAGATTTTTATGTACATTATTGTAGGTCAATGTTAGTAGAAAATACAGTCTGTTGATTGGTTGTTTCTTAACCTTGCATCTCTTGTGGCTGTGTCAGTTCATCTATATGTTGACTGTATCCGCCTGTCCACCTTGACCTTTGACCTCAATTACTGTCAACCAATTTGGCCAGCAACCATCTCTCACCACACTCGTCCCCCCGTCAAATAGTTTGGACTGAAGTCGGCTCGGTCTTCTCGGTTCTTGGGGCTTTGCTCTGTTGTCTTGCTGTCTGGAATCTCGGAGCTTGCGGATGTTCACTTGTTTCTCTGTGTTTACCATTGCGATTGTGTCTGCGTAACCCCATCTCAACGTGACCATATATGGTCCTTCCCGTTTTGGAAACTGTTTGCCTGACCCTGTCGCACATTCGTAGGTATTTCGCCTCACACTTCCATATGCTGCTTTCTCCCGACCTCCCAGCAGCGTCCCAAGTAGCAGCCTCATCGCTGACAGATCTTGAACGCCACTCAACTGCGAAGAAGCCTCGAAGTCCTGCGCGAAGATCCATATGTCTCCATCAAAAACTGCAGGGCATAGGCTTTCCATTTGTCGGTAGGCAGCGACACCAAATGTAACAACAGAAGACAAGGGCCAGGCAACAGATCGTTTATTACGAAAAATCAACACGTATTTATAGATTTTTATGTACATTATTGTAGGTCAATGTTAGTAGAAAATACAGTCTGTTGATTGGTTGTTTCTTAACCTTGCATCTCTTGTGGCTGTGTCAGTTCATCTATATGTTGACTGTATCCGCCTGTCCACCTTGACCTTTGACCTCAATTACTGTCAACCAATTTGGCCAGCAACCATCTCTCACCACAGCATGACTAATATTTGATACATAAACATTGACCTTAATTACTGTCCACCACTTGGCTAGTAGACAGCTCTCACCACAGCACTACTGGTTGACGTAAGTGGGTTCAAACTATTCATACCAGTCAGTAATACCTACTGTTATGCTAATTATCTTGCTTTCTTGATCATCCTTTATGGAATCAAGTAGATTACTTGGGAGGGAGTGAGGAATTCTCTCCTCAAGCTGTGTCACTTATATATCATGAAATCGTTTCTAGCATAATACGCTGCATTTTGTTGATTGAACTCAGAGTTATGGTCCAGTCTGTGTTTGATACCGGTAAAACAAACTTGCAGGAAATTGCATAGCACAAGTAGTATTAATTTTATAATGTGTTATTCTAACAAAAGAAAGACTGGAAAATGTTCAGAAAATATAAAATACTAGTTTTTTTAAAAACCTACATTTAAACCCTACAAACTACAGATTTCTTTATGTCAATGTTTATTTGTACACTTATACATACACACACACACACACATAAATGTGTACAGAGTGTTTTCGTCTTATCAACATCATCATGAATTTGTAAATATTTGTATATCAGCAAGTCAAAAGTCATTATTTTCACTTGTATTCAATTGTTCAATGTTTACTGTGCTATTTTAAATTTGACCTTTTAGTGTTGTCAGTATCTTGATGCCTGCCTTCTGCATTGGTGGCTATTACTGTCAACATTTTTGTTGTTATTTTTATTGTTGGGTATCTTTGTACACACACATCTTTCGACACAAGTTTAGTGTGATATTTCATCTATAAGTCAATGGGATGCTCACAACAAAGTGGAAAACGTCCATTAAAATTTTTCAGAAGAATGGTTACCAAACAAAGAATATTCTTTTCGATAACCTGTTCTTCATCAGGTTCTACAGTTATATATACATAATAGTCAGTGAATTAGTGTTATTAACAACATTAATGTTGTTTAAATAACATCGAATCAATAATAATAATGATATCAATGGATTACAGTTCGATAGCATTAAAAGTAACAGTTCACTGAATATA